CGCTGCTGTCTCATGCGTGGCGTGAAGTCCAGGTGGCTTCGCTGCCTCGGATGTCACCGGAGCCACCCTGGCCAGCAAGGGAGGAGGCGGCAAAGATTGACGCTGTCGGCACTTCTGGCGCTCAGCTGTTCGCAGCCATAAATGTGTGCAGGAGAAATCACTGCTGCTGTGCTCTGTGCCCCTGTATCTTCTGCAGGGAGAGGGTCAGGATTGCCCCTGGTGGGTGTGGGCAGCCGGTGCTGGCGTGGGAGGGAGCCCCATGGGGCCAGTGGGTACTCGATGTGCTTGGACTTCTCCTGGTTCCTCTCCCTCCCCGCCAGGGAAAGGGGATTTGTGAGGATGTAAGTGTTTATCCAGCCCTTCGTGGCATGGACTGGTGTCCCAGTTGGCTGTCTGCGAGGTGCTGTGGGCTGGACTGGGGAAGAAGTGACTGTGCTCCCGGCCAAGGCTGCTGCTATGTGCCAGAGCCCAGCACAGACCCTGGCTGCAACAGGGCTGCAAATCTCCCTTGGGCGCCCAGCCTTGAAAACATCCCATGGAAATAAGCCCAAATCCTCACCACTTGGTTTCCCAGCCCCTCTGGGCTCGGACTGGGGGGACCACAGGGCCAAGCTTTTTGTCTCTGGTGCCTCTGTGGCCGCAGCCCCTTGCACAGTGCAGCGTCGTGCCAGCCTTGCTTCCTGGCAGTGTGTCTGTCTGTCGCGCCCTGTGCTGGCGGTTGGAAATATTTCATAAGTGGCAGAAACCCGTAACGGGCAGATGGGGCCGATGGAGGAGTTACTTCACTTCTCCCGGGGCGCTGGAGGCTGCCAGTTTTCCGGTGATGGGGCTGCGGCTTCTTGGGCAAAGAGGGGCTTGTGCCCAGGGCTCGGCTTTGGGGTGAGCTTTGTGATCGGGCCACCTGCTTGTCCAGGCTGCCAAGGCTGTCACAGAGCTGTGTCCTGTTGCATGAGTCCCTTCGAGGTGACAGCAGGGACCAGAGAGCCATCCCTGGGCATCAGCAGAGGCTTTGTGGATGCTGCTTCTCCCTGGTGCATCAGTTTGGAAAATGCAGAGCCGGACCAGGAGGGTGAATTCCCAATGGAGCGGTGTCTCGGTGTTGCTCCTCCTTGCTGTCCTTGACCTTCTGTGGGTGCCCAAGTGAGCTGTCACCTCTGTGCTGGGTTGGCATGGGGATGCAGTGGAGGTGCTCGACCCAGCTGAGGCTGAACTTCAGACCTGGGAACCGGGGGAACGAGACAGAGAGAACCCTGCAGGTTATGAACTGTGTGACCGATGGGGCACAGCGTCTCACTTTGCTGTGGGTGTGTGTGCTCACCCACCTTTGCCACCTTGGCCAGGCCATATTTTCTGGCGGCTCCCTCCTCCTGAGCAGCTTTGGGCAAAACCCCTTTGGGCTGTGCACGTGAGGCCCGTTTCCCTTCTGCTTCCCCTGGTGCGACCTCCAGTCGTTTGGCCTGCGGTTTGTGCGGTCGCTGGTATCTCATCTCCCCATCGGTCACATCCCCTCTCGGTGGTGAGTCACCCGGCCGTGCCTCTTCCCCTGGTGCTGTTCAGGAGAGCTGAGCAAGGATGAAGATGATGTTTTCAACTGGGCTGACACATCTGCACCCGCCAAGTTCCTCTCATAACAGCTCTTGGTGATTTATGTCTCAATCGCGTGAAGCAGGTATGTTTTGTTATCTTGGAGCTGGGAAGGAAGGGGATGGGTGTGTGTCCTCCCCTTCATGCCCATCCACTGCACCCACTGGAGCATCGCAGGGGGACCTGAGCAGGGACGTGCGTTTTGGCCACAGTCGCCTTCCTGCAGGGTTGAGATGACTCTAGGGACGATCCCTGTGCCCCTTAAACCCTTTTACCCTCAGAGCTGGACTGCTTTGGATTGTGTGTGCCCATGCTGCCAAAACACCCACATGGGATTTGTATTGGCAGTGCCTTTACCAGGTGACCAGAGGCCGTGCCGATGGGCACACACGTTCGATGTGGCAGGAAGGGAAGGGGGGCACAGCCGAATGGTGCTGGCAGCGCTGCCAACTCGCACCGTGGTGCCAGCCCGCCTCCAGGCAAGCAGTTGGCTGCAGGAGCGTGGCTTATCGTGCCGGGACCTGTCTGTGTCCCTGGGCACAGCGGATCTTGCGCTGGTTCAGCAAACGCTCTGGCCTCGGGCGGATGGAGATGGTTGTGGTTTCCCCCTTTCCCCTCCCTTTCTCCTGGCAGGAGCCCATGGTTGGGGTGAGCTGTGCGTTGCTCACTGCGGTAGAGTTTCTCCCCTTGGCATCGCTTTCTGGCGCAGAGATCCAAGGAGGGACTGACTCGCCCGCAGCCGCCTCCTGCAAACGCAGCTCCTCAGCGCATGGAGGAGCAGCTTCACCTCTGGGTCCTGCCCAGGGGAGCAGGGCAGCAGGTTTTGGTCTGCGTGCGAGTCTTACACCAGCCCAAAGCATTGCTGCTGCAGGGCTGCACGGAGGAAGGGGTGCTCTGCAGTGCCTCCAGGTTGGATTTGCATTGGGTTCATCCCCAGGATAGCTGTGGGTCACATCCCTCCTCCCTGCCCCTGCTCTGGCTCCCAGCAGGGAACGGGCAGGTAAATACAGCCTGGGCAGCTTCTCCTGCGGATACTTAGCAAGGGGAAGCGGTGTCACAGGTAAACCTGAGGCTGGGATTTTTGTGGCTCTGGTTTTGCTGCTGGTCAGTGGGGTGATGCAGAGAAGTCGTTGCACCTGCCCGTGCCTCAGCTTCTCCACTTGCAAAGCTTTGGGATGTGCATTGAGCTCCGATGCTGGGCTTACGGCTCTCCCAGGAGCAGTGCTGGTGCTGTGGGTCCTGAGAGATGCTGGGAAGGGCTGCCCCAAACACGGTGGCTTTGGGACTGAACTGGTGGCATCAGCTCAGTTCTGGTGCTGCTTGCCAGCTGGGGTGGTGACACTGCCCTGGGGAGTCCCCATCCTGTCCCCCTGAACCTGTCCTCAGCTCGGACTGTGCATGAAGCTGCCCATCACTGCTCTGCTCCCTGCTCTAGCACAGCGACTGGAAAACCTCTGTGATGGCTCATCTTATGCTGGGCAGCTGGAGGGGACTTCATCTCCCTTTGGCCACTGTCATCCCACAGTTCCTGGTCCCCCTTGTTCTTTCGGCTGACCTCCCCATTCCTCCTCTTCCTCCTCCTGCAGCTCTGGGCTGAGGCTGGGTCCCAGCAGTGGGATGTGATAACATTAATTGCAGAGGAAACCCCAGAGCTTTTTGGGGCTGAGACTGACTCTGTGTTATCCCTGGGTAGGATAAGGTGCTGCAGGCAGGGAGCTGCCCCAGTAGGAGCAGTAACCAGTACCAAAATGCCTCTTCGGATACCAGTAACTTCAGCTGTGTGCGGGTGTCTCTGGGCTGGATGGCAGGGCTGGATCGTGTCCCCACCCTGCAGCTCTGCAGGTGGCTTCATGTCCTTGCACCATGTGCACACGGGGATGTGCCATGGACATGTGTGCACGGCGGCGGCTGCAGCGTGGGATGTGTCTCACAGCCGTCTCTGTGCTGGCGCTGTCACCTCGGGCTGGGAGAAGGGGCTCACGTGGGGATGTCTGGGGCCAGGCTGGTGTGGCACAGGGCGCACCAGGGGGTTTGCCACGCCGCAGCCATGTGCTGTGCCAGATGGGACTCGGGTTCTCTCGGAAATGTGTGGCTCCCGCTCCAGATGCTCCTCTTCTCCAACCCAGCCGTGCCCAAGTGGTGCCATGCTGGAGCGGTGTGGCCGAGGCAAACGTGCTGTGTAGTGGAGCTGCTCACAGCTGAGCTGGAGTAGCTGCCCCTGGGTGTTACCCAGCCCTGGAATAAGAAAATATGTTTGGAAATGCTCCGGCATGAATATTTTCGGAGTTACCAAGGAGAGGTGTGGATGTGTGTGTGTGCACCTCGGTGCTTTTACAGTGTCGCGCACAAGATTAAATGGCAAATTGTACCTGCTGGGAACGGGCATTGAACCTGGTGGTCCCGGCAGCTCCCCTGGTCCTGCGACTGCAGGGGTGGTGTTTGTGGGTGATGCCAGACGATGGATGCGGGCCAGGAGCTGTGCGGAGCACCGCGTCGGTGAAGCACATGTGCCGGGGTGCAAACATGTATGCGAAAGAGATCCCGGCTGTCTAAATAATGTGAAATATTGACTAGCGCTCGCAGATGGTGCTCCACGTGCAGCTCTGGGGACTGAACTTCTCTGTTGGGTTTTGGTGTGATGTTGTTTTGATCCAGTTGGATGCTGGACTCTTGACAAACTCATTGCCTGGTTGCTTTCAGTGGGATCATGTAATTTTGGGGAGGTTGGTTGCTAATGGGGTCTGAGGGAAAGGGAGGAGCGTTGCAGAAGGCTTGGCTGGCTCCTTCACACTCTTCTGATGGCTTTTAATTGGTTTTTAAACGATGACACCAACTGGGAAGCTGGTTCTCGCAGAGTGTTGGGGTTTGTAGTATTGCGCGGGTGCCGTTTGGTGGCAGCGTTGCAGAGGAATTGCTGCCTGTAGCCAAGAGCTGGTGTTATTACAGCTATTACGGTGATTGCATTCACTGATGAAATGCTGCTGCTGATTATTTGCATGAGGACGTTGCTGAGGGGCCCATTCTTGGACCAGGCCCCAGTGTCCTGGCCATAATTCAGACCGCTGGCAGCAGGGCCTTGGGGACACGCTGCTTTTGTATCAGCTTGTGCATGGGCAGCAGGTTTTCCGCTCTGTTTTCCCTTCCTCTGGGGTGAGATACTGGGTTTGGCTACACAAAATGATGCTTTGCTTCTGTTGCTGAGGAGGATGCTCTCGTGCTTTCCCCAAAACCCGTACCCAGTGCTGGGCCACCCCACCGTGGGCTGTGCATGCCACCGCACGCGTCCTCAAAAAAAAAGCGGCGGGGGGGGGCCCCCCCAGCCACAACAGTCTGTGCTCCCGCGGGGCCGCTTCCAAGGCGGCGTGCGGCTTGGGCTGAAACATGTTTTTCCCTCTTCTGTTTCCCGTTTTCCGCAGGCTTTTCCCATCTGCCTAACGGGCTCTACCCGTCGTACATTCCCCTGAGCCACCTCGAGCCCCCCAGCGCCGGCAGCCCGCTCCTGGCCCAGCTGGGTCAGCACAGCCTCTTCGAGTCGCAGAAAGGTGAGGCCGGGTCCCTGCTTGCTCTTCCCTTGGGTGCTCACCCTGTCCTTGGGGCTTGGTTGGGTGCTGGGATGTGCAGGGTGAAGAGCAGGAACGCCCTGGGGTTATCATCCAGGGATGTTTTCTGGTCTTAAGATGCGGCTGTGCTGTGGGGAACCTGGGCAGATCCCTCCTTGAAGTACCCAGACAAAGCTCAGCGTGCATCAGACAGGGCTGTCCTGCATCTCCTGTGCTTTGGTCCTTCCTGGCCACATCCGAGACATCCTTGAAGCCTCTTTCCTCCTGATTTACCACCTCTCACTTGTCTCTGTGTTAGGGGTTGGAGGCCCATAGTAATTTTGTTTGCTTTTGCTCTGCAGATGGGTTCTACCTGTCTGGCCATGCGGGCCAGTCCGCACTGCACCCACAGCCTCCCCTCTCGAGGACCACGGGCAGCCACACGCCGAGCACTCTGCTGCGGGAGAAGGACCTCGGGCAGCTGCACAAGAGCTCGAAAGAAAGCCTGAAGGACCCTGGGGGGAAGGAGCGGCCGTGCCGGAGCGATCTCTCCCTGCCCTTTGCCAAGAAGGAGGGCAAGCCGAAGGAGGAGCCCCGGCCCCGCAGCGTGGTAGACCTCACGCAGGACACCAAGCCCGACAGCGACCGGAAAGTGAGCGTGGTGGAGAAGGCGGTGAAGGTCGGCGAGCGTCTCTCGCCGTTCCTGGCCGAGCACATGCCAAATCGGGGTGTGGGCGGTGGGGAACCCAAATCCAAGAACCCACTGCAGAGCTCTTCCCTCAGCAACTGCAACGGCGGCGGGGACCCCATGCTGAAGGTCCTGGGTGCCGAGCAGGACCGCTGTGCCAAGGACCCCGCTCGGCACGACGAGAACATGAGGCCTTCTGCGCACGCCCATGCTGAGCGGCTGAAGCGGGGAGAGCCCCTCCTGGCCTCTGTGGGCACTTTGCACGTCTCCTGCAGCTGCCCGTCCCCGCATCCCTCGCAGCCGGGGAAGATGACGCCGGCCACCACATTCCCTCCGCAGCCCGTCCATTCCAGCATGTACACCATCTTCCCGCCGGCCAAGGAGCTGGGGAGGGAGCACAAAGTCATCGCCCCCACCTTCGTGCCTTCGGTCGAGGCCTACGACGAGAGGAGCGGGCCCATCCAAATCGCCTCGCAGGCCCGCGACAACAAGGCGAAGGACAAGGACCTCGGCAAGGTGGGGGTGCTGCAGTCGCCCACAGAGCGGTGCCTCGCGGACCCCTCCCGCACGCTCTTGTCCCAGGACTTTTCTTGCCACAGCGATGCCAAAAGGATGGAGGCCCTGAGGGAGAAGGGCTCAGTGATCAGGGCCAACTCCATGGCGCTGAAGAGACAGATCGCTTCGGAGCCCTTCCTTAACCGGCCTGGGCTGGGCTCTCCGGAGAGCAGGGAGTTCCTGGCCTCTAAGGACTTGCTGAAGCCGAGTCCGGAGGCAGAGCATCGCCCCTGCGAGCGGGACCGCTTCCAGCGCTCCAGCTCCAAAGAGGCGGCAAAGGTCTACGGCACTTTGGACTCGTCCCGGCAGCACCTGGACCATGGGCAGTTGAAACCGCCCGAGCAGAAGTGGAAGCCCTTCGAGATGGGCAACTTTGCCACCACGCAGATGGCGGTGCTGGCCGCGCAGCACAACCACGTCACCCGGGCGGAGGAGGAAGCCAAGAAGGTCTACCTGGACCCCAGTGGCTTGCCACGGTCCTCGGTGGTGGGCTCGCGGGGCGCTGCCGACGTCCTCCACCCCGCGTCCCACGGGGAAGGGTCGGCCATGCAGAGCCTCATCAAATACAGCGGCAGCTTCGCCAAGGAGACCACGTCCCGGCAGAGCTGCGGCAAGAAGAGCCCCTTCGGGGGCTTGGGCAACATGAAGTTGGACTCTTCGCAGCTGGGCGCCTCCAAAGTGCAGCAGCTGCTGTCACAGCAGCCAGCGAAGCAGCTGAAGAGGGACCCCGAGAGACCCGAGAGTGCCAAATCCTTTGGCCGCGAGAGCATCGGCTCCCAGGGCGAGGTGGAGGTAAGGCACTTGCCCGTCGGCATCGCCGTGGCCGTGGCCCGGCAGAAGGACAACAGCAGCAGCAGCAGCAGCAGCAAACTGGGGCCCAGCTTGGCAGACCGGGACCGCTCGCTGTCCCTCAGCAGCATCAAAGGTGGGTTCCCTAGACCCGTAGTGGGGCTTCCCTGTGGGGTGAGCACCCACCCAGTGCAGGCTGTGTGGTGTGAGCTGGTTTTGGCATCCTCAGCTGTCTTTGCCTCCTGTTCCCAGCCGAGGATGCGTTGTAGACCACGGCAAGGAGCAGGGAAGAGGGAGTCCCCTTTCCCCCCTGCCATCCCCTCTGTCTACCTCTGAGGACAACCCTTCTCCACGTCTTTGATTCCTGTTAGTGAGTGGAGTGACAGAGAAACCCCTTCATCCAGCTCTGCGCTGGTGTTTTAGCCTCATTGTTTTGGCTCTCTTGAGGCAAGGAGCTGATGCCAAAGCAAACGGCCAGTGAGCAATGGTCGAGTTTCCATTTTTAGCCTTTTCTTTCCCCATTTTTCTGCCTTCTCCCCCCTCTCCCAAGCCTCAGCGGTTTCTCCCGACCAGCAACCCCTCTCCCCGTTCCCATCGCCTGCCGTCACCCTCCCCACGCCAGGCGGGAGCCGACCGAGGACCTCGTGGGCAGCACAGGGAGCTGTTTGTTCAGCCGTTCAACCGTCCCAGACCCTCCCAGCTTGCGTTAAATGTAATTTACTGAGTCGAACTAAAAGGCTGCAAACAAGGGCTGAATTCTGGCAGGCCTCCGGGCTCGTTGCTAAGCGATGCGGTTGGCTTTCAGACAGAAAACAAGTCTGCTTTTCTCCTCCTCTCGCCCCCCAAATGCTGCCCCCCCTTTGTGTGCCAGGAGATATTCGTCTAATAACATTAGCTTGCTTGCGCTGAGTGGACGGTGCTTGAATGTTTAGACCTTTTAAGAAGGAGAAAGCAGGCTTTAGTTGGCTAATCTGTAGTATTTGGCAAGTAAAATGCAAGTATTTAGTGCCGGGCATTGGTTGTCAAGGAAACGGACCTAAGCCTTTCCTCTGTGCATAACTGATTGAATTTTTCTATGCGGCCCGTGCGTCATGTTCGTATATATAGACAAAATGATCATTCACTGTCCGGACAATCGTCGGTCTGTACAGAAAAGGGACCGTCCTCTTGGTGGGGTAGGGGCTAGGCGGGAATGAGATGGGTACGAAAGCGCCTGTGTTTGGATGGGGGAATGAGAAAAAGATGATAAACCTGTCTATAAATAACGGAGCGCAAGTGGTGCGGATGGGAGAGGGAGGAGCGGAGGTAAAATAACAAAATAATGTGTTTCTAATAAAAGGCTGGAGAAGGGGGGCGGCTCACCTTGTGCCAAGGAGGGGAGGGAGGCTGTGAGTTCACCAAGGGCTTGCTCCATGTTGCTGGTGCAGAGGAGGCTGTTGGGCATCACTTGGGGAAAATAAATAGGAAAAAGGGGCTCTGAGAGCAACGGAGGCTGCACGGGGCATCGAGGAGGGTGCACGCAGGGTCCTGGGAGGCTGCGAGGGAAAGGGGGTGACCCTGGAGAGTCCTTTGGGAGGGAGAGGCGTGTGCTGGGTTTTAAAGCATCCTTGCTTTCTGCCTGAAGCCCGTGGAAGGAGCCTTGGGGAGAGGAGCCAGGAGAGATGTTGTCTCGTTCCTGGATTCCTTCTGACAGTAAAAGCTGAGGGAGTTGGAGGCTTGACAGCAACAAAACCCACAGGCTGTCCAGGTTTGTGGAAATACACAGCGGAGCCCTCCTTGAAGAGACGGCCTGTCAGCAGAATAGACTGGATGCTCCGAGATGCTTTCCCGTGTGCCAAACCTTATCCAAATGGGAGAGCGACGACCCTGGGAAGGGCTGCTGGGAGCCGGGGTGCAGCCGTGCGAGGCTGTGCTGTGCTGCTGAGCCCTGTGGGGTGCAGAGCATCGCACCGGGAGCTGAGCGGGAGCAAACCTGGTCCCATTGGAAAAATGCATGTGCAAGGAAGAAACTAGGGAAAATGTAGGAAAAGCCAGCCTAAAATCAGGCAACTGGAGTGAAGACCTTGGGTAAAATAAGGGAAGGGTGGCTCCAATGCCTGGTCGTGGCAGGGCTGGAGGGGAGCTGCTGTTTGCTCCTGTGAAGGTGCTCCCTAATCTCTCGCAGACGCAGCTGCTGCCGTGCCAGGCTGTATTTGCAAGAGCTGGTCTGATTCTGGACGTTTCTCCAGCCAAACATCCAACCCCCCACTTTTTGGACACTCGCCCTCATCTACCATATGTGCCCCTGCCTCGCCAGACCCTTTCTTGTTGCGTGGCTCGGGGGGGAGATGCAGATTCCTGTTAATGGGTTGAATTAGTGCAGCACTGGTTTTGTGAGGGTCTGTAGGGGCTTCAGAGCATACCCAGTGTTCCCAGACTGGTTTGCAGCAGGGTGCCCAGGTGGCCAAGAGCATCCTGGCTTGCATCAGGGATAGTGTGGCCAACAGGACCAGGGAAGTGATTGTCTGACTGTACTGGGCACTGGTGAGGCCACACTTTGAATACTGTGTTCAGTTTTAGGCTCTGCAATATAAGAAAGACATTGAGGTGCTGGAGAGGGTCCAGAGAAGGGCTGAAAGCTGAGGAAGTGCCTTATGAGGAGAGGCTGAGGGATTTGGGGTTGTTTAGTCTGCAGAGAAGGAGGCGGAGGGGAGACCTTATTGCTCTCTACAACTCCTGAAAGGAGGGTGTAGAGAGGTGGGTGTGGGTCTCTTCTCACAAGCTACAACTGATAGGACGAGAGGAAATGGTGTGAAGTTAGGCCAGAGGAGGTTTAGGTTAGACATTAGGAGAAACTCCTGCACTGATAGGGTTATCAAGGCTGGCACAGGCTGCCTAGGAAAGTGGTTGAATCACCATCCATGGATGTATTGAAAAGCCATCTAGATACGGTGCTCAGGGACACGGTTTAGAAGTGGGCATGGCAGAGTTAGATAACGGTTGGACTTGATGATCTTAAAGGCCTTTTCCAACCATAAGGATTCTGTGATTGATTCTACAAGAGCAGAAGGTGCTTCAGAAGGTGCAGAGATAAAATCCACCCCTCTGAGATGTGCTAAGCAGGACAGCGTGATTTGATGTGGGGATTTAGCTGGGCCTTGTCTCTTTCTGAGATTGGAAGTTTGCCACTGTCCTTCTGCAAAATTGGTCCCGTTGGCTGTGCTGCTCCCAGGCTGGTGGCTGTCCTGTCCTGGGACACCGCCTGACTTGGTGAGTGGGTCACTTGACGGCTCGAAGGCCCGGACCTCAACCACATCCACCTGGGTACTACCAGGACCACCTGAGTGAGAACATCTTGATCACACAGACAGCCTTGCCCTGTCCTCTATCACTTGAACCTGATACAGTCTTGGGGACAGTGGCATCTGAGTGTGCTGGCTCCCAGGGTACGGCCTCTCCATGCCCAGAGGAGAGGGGTCAGCTTTCCCCAGATGATTTCTTGTGTCTGATGGTGCTGGGTTGTCTCTTAGGGCACGGACGCTCAGAAGATGATTGCGGGGATGAGAGGAGCCGCCACCGGGACAGCCACCTCCTGGCAGGGCGCTTGGAGCGGGACCAGGAGAAGCTGCTCAGGTGAGGGTTGGAGGGGGACACAGTGGCACCAGTCGTGCTTGGGGACAACCTATCTGGAGGAGGACAGGGTTGCATCCATCCTGGTGGAGCTGCTGGCACCAGAGGAGATCCTGAATCTGTAGCAGAGCAATCCTAATAGACTGCTGCAGATCCATGCCTGCTCCAAAGGGATAGAGAGATGGGGTGTTTTATTGTGGACCATGAATGTTGGTTCACCTCCATCACAGCTTTCCTTGAGTGCCTGACCCTGGTTTGCAGATGTGATCATTCTGCAGACTGGTCCATACCCCTGGGCTCGCCCAGCCATACCTGCAGCACTCGAGCCCTCTCTGACTCTCTCTTTTACCTCCCCCATGAGCAGAGAGAGCAAGGAGCTGGCAGATTTTGCCCGGATCCATCCTTCTGGCTGCGCCACAAATGGTTTGAACTCCAACCTGATGGTGACAGGAGGCCCAGCCTTGACGGGCTCCGGGCGCTGGTCTGCAGATCCGGCTTCACACTTGGCAGCGCACCCCTGGCTCCCCAGGACCGGGAGCCCCTCCATGTGGCTGGCTGGCCATCCCTATGGTGAGTGCCCTGGGGAATGAGCCGTATGTCCATGTGTCCATGTGTTCATGCCAATGCAGTCCAGGGTCTGATCACAGGGGAAGGGGAAGGTGGTATTTTGGAGCAATCAAATGGTAGATGACTTCTTGCATGAGTAGGAGCTGCCTGCATCCCTTGAGTTGTGACTGTGGTGTTTCTTCTTCCAGGACTTGGTCACCCTTCTCTGCACCAGGGCATGACTCCAGGCTTCCCTCCTGCCATGGGGGGAGCTCTCCCTTCTGCTTACCAGTTTGCCAGAGACCCGCAGTCTGGGCAGCTTGTTGTGATCCCCAGCGAGCACTTGCCACACTTCGGTAAGGACGTGAGCGTGTGCTGAGGACCACGTTTTGACAGCTATGGAGGAAACAGGCTTTGGATGGGGCTAGATAGGAGCATACGTACCCCTGAGGACCAGCAGCCTCAGCTCTAGGGTGGCCCTCAGCTGGCCTCTTGTTAGGTGTGTTGTAGAGGTGGAAGTGTGAAATCTTCAGCAGTGGCTCCTCATCCCTTGCAAGACCCCGTAGACTTTGGGTCCTTGGTCATGGGCTCAGCCAAGAACAGTCAAACCAGGGGCGTGTAGAGAGCAGAGTGAGTCAGACACCCCCAGGACCCATGGAATGGTGGGAGTGGGGCTGCCGAGGAGAAGACAGCCCCCTTTCCCCTCTGCCTTTCTGGTTGCAATTTCCACACCACCAGATGTTTGGCGTCCCCCACGCCCTGCGACTGGGGTAGAGACAGTTGCCCTGAATCCTCAACCAACCATCCCCATCCTCCCTGACTGCATCTCTGCTCGTTCCCCAGCGGAGCTGATGGACCGAGCGCCCCCGCTGTGGCCCGCCATGTACCCCCCGACCAGGAGCTCCCTCCAGCACGCTCACCAGCTCCAGCTCCTCTCGCATCAGCAGCTGCTGCGGCAGCATGAGCTCTACATCCTGCAGCAGCAAGCGGCCCATGCCATGGAGCTGCAGAGAAGCGCCCAGCTCGTGGTACGTTTTACAGGAGCTTCTTGCTTGGGATGTGAAATGAGCCTGAAGTTTTGGGGTGTTGAAGTGGGAAAAGCAGCTGTGGTGGTGTTGCGAGGTCTGAAGGCTGCAGATGCGTGGAGTGATCCTGCCCTGGTCCCTGGGGTACGAGGCATTCAGTGCATCATTGGGGTGGGTTTTGAAGGGGTTTGGTGCAGAGCTGTTGAGCAGCGCTGTCAGGAGAGCTTCCCAGCAGCAGCACAACCTTGATGCCTTCCCCAGGGATGTCTCTGTTTACTTGAGTGGTTTCTTCCCATGTCACCTCCAAACAAACCTCTGAGAGGCTCAGAGAAGCAGTTGCAATACTGACAGCAGTCAACCTGGGTCCTGGAGCCATCTCCCATCACCAAATGATTTTGGAAGTTGTGAGCTTTCATTTGAATGCTTTACACCCATTTAGTTTTAATAGTGGCCATCTGGTTTTCAGCCTTATGTTAGATGTGTGCTTGCTAGGCTGGAGACTTAGAAATAGAGATGATTTGCTTTGCTTGCAAGTAAAAGCTGAGATACCCTTCATATGATTCCTGGAGCTGGGAATTTGTGAAGAAAGCTATTGCAGATCAGTGTCACCTTCCATCAGATTGGCCTTAAAATGGTCTTGCACTGGGGAATGTGTGTTTCATTGCAGTGCATATTTGGTGAGGCCATGTTTTGGTTGGTGGTAGGTGTGCACTCTCCAGGAGCAGGCAGAGATGTTATGCTGAGTTTTGCTCTGTTCTTCTTGTAGGAGAGGTTGAAGGCGAACGAGCAGCGTGCAGATATGGAAGAGAAGGTGACGAAACGGAGCCTGGACAGTGCCAAATCAGGCCTTTCCTCCTCTGCCCCGGGACTGGTGCACCGCAAACCACCTGTGCTGTCTCCCAGCGCCTCCACGTCCTACAGCAAGGCTGTGAGTCCACCTCCCCTCTCTCCCAGGGCCTCACCCGTGTCCGTGCTCAAAGCTGAGGTGATCCAAAAGATGGAGGAGCCACCTTCGCAGCCAGCCTACTCCTACCCTGCCACCCCCAGCTCCCATCCCTCCAGCC